ATTCTCGTAACTATTGCTACATGATAATCTTTAAGCTTATAATTTTTCCTGAATAATGCTATCACTTCTTTCAGATACTGTTACCTTAATATTCAAAAAGTGGCTTTTGCATTCACTAAGAATTGAGCAGCATCACCTAGGAGCCCTTTAATCAGAACTGCTTAGTTCAGCAATGATCATAGTGAAATTGTGCGTAGTGTTTTAAATGTTTTTAAATATTTTTTTAATTGATGAGCTCCTTTTTAAAAAAATAAGTACACATTTCGTAGTACATTTTATTTATTGTTCATAACATTTGCATTTGTAATGTATATTTTTTCAGTTTCATTTATCCATAATGAATAATAATGACTTCAAAAGAACATAAAAACTTGTTAGAAGATGAAGGACTTCAAGGTAAATATTTAAAAGAAGTAAATCATTAATTATTAACAGTACCACCAACCAGCATGGATGTAGAAAGAGCACTTTTAACAGCAGATAATTTGTGCACAAAAAATACATTCCAGGATGACAGTTCATTAGATGCATTATGCTTTTTATGATAACATTACAAAAATATGTAGTTAATAAATTGGTATTTTCTATTAATAAATATTATGTAATAGATTACAGAACAAGATTTTTATTCAATATTTATTCTTCTTAATAATAATACAGTAAGACCCCGCTTAACGTGGGGGATACGTTCCATTGAAGTAGAGCGTAATGCGAAACACCGCTAAGCGAGGCTATCTTAACATGTAAATAATGGGGTTAGGGGAAGATGGATAAAAATGGTTAGGCATTAAATTTAATAATGTTTTTTTTTTTAATAAAAATAAAATCGAACATTTATTTCTTACAAAAATAAAACAATATAAACGCATATACTTTTAAAAACAAATAAAATTCTCAGTCAGATCATTCAGTCTATTCTGGGTTTCCAATTTTCGCCTTTTTGTCAAGAAGGCATTATGATAGATTGGCTTAATGGCATATTGCGTTCAATTTCGTCGTCAATACATATAGACAGTCGTTTTCCCATTTCCTCTATAATGTTATTTCTAGAACGGGTAATTCTAGTTGCAGAGCTTCACGTAGTTGCAGTTGCCGATGACAGTATTTTTTCTTTATTCTTAAGAATTGTCCTTATTGTTGAAGTTGCCAAAATCAATGCAGCACTAATTTGAGATTGACGTTCACCAGAATCTAATCTTCTAATCACTTGCATTTGAGTTTCCAGTGAAATACTTTTTCTAGTTGCTTTCTTTTCGTTTTTTATTATCACCCATGATTAAAACTAAAGATCATAATATTTGTCACTGTATTAATCGTTATAGTATTATACAAATTTAAACTTACAATAATGTCAACAGATGTTTCAAATGATAAAAATGCGTCCACAAAGCAAGAAACACAACTACACTGTTTCGGATATGTTATTTGGAAACCTAGCGCTGCGCACAATTTCGGAGAATCCCCGGGTTGAAATAAAAGAGCGCTAAACCGAAACAGCGCTAAACGAAACAGCGTTAAGCGGGGTCTTACTGTACTATATCTTTTGCTCCTTTATTGTATTGTAATACTGTAATGGTTTATTTTCTATATTAATTTTTTTTGTTCCTAATGTTATAAACTATTATTTTATTGCCCTTGTAATATTTGATTGTAGTAGTTGTTCCTTTATTGTACATTTGTACATAAAAAAAATTTATACTTTTATAGTTATGCATTTTTCGTATAAAACCAATATGTCCCCCCCCAAAAAAAAAAACTGAGTTTTTCTTTTCTTTTCTTTTTTTTTTTTTGAAAAATTCTAAATATTGCTACAAGCTTTAAAAAAATACCGGTAATGTGTTATTGATCCAGTATTGAAACCACTAATTGTAGCCTACATAATAAGTTTACGCATGTGCGTTTAATGTATAACGAACGGTATAAGCTAAGCTAAAATTATCTATTTCAGTTAATGTTGCAGATTGCATTGTTCCTTAATCTTCGAATTGGATCCGGCTTATTATTTTTTGTAGACTGTTAGAGCAATTTTATAAAAGTAAGCTTGAACTTTCGATTATGTCAAAAAGAATTTCTGATTCTGGAGTTGTCAAAGGATCTACAAAGCGAAAGCATGTTTCGATGTCCATCAAACAAAAAGTGGAATTGCTGCAAAAAATGGATAAAGGCATATCCTTTGTTTCTCTAACCATTCCGAAATCTGTTTATCAATTTTCCGCTGCTCTTCGGGGGGGGGGACGTTGCGGTGCGCAATGAACTGGAAGTTGATCTGTCAGCACTATCCTTATCTTCAGAGCAGATGTTTTTATTTTATTCGGCTTATAATTCCTTACTAAATGTAGTATTTCATTTCGATGTACTCCGTCTTTGATATGATTTAAATCAAATTGCTCGTCATTACACCAGAAACTACAGTCAAAAGTCGTTAATCCAGACTCGTCGGGACTTCGGCGATTCCGGATTATAGATCATCAGTTTAAATATGGTAAGATGGCATGCAGAAATTACAAAATTAAAAATATGAAACCGTAATTTATGAAATAAAGAACAATTATGATCTAAAGGGTATCAAATTTACAAAAAAAAAAGCTTAATATTTATTTGTTTACTTTATTAAACATTTCTTTCAATGTAAGTTGCTTCGTTTTATGTGATAATACTTTCTCTTTAATTCTATTAAACAGACATAATTTCTTGTTTAGTTACAAAGTTCCGCTGTTCAAGTCCTATAATTGCTGTGTTGAGAATACGACTAATTTGTCAATCGAAATGTTTTTCGTTTCAATAACCTCTGGGTCACTTTCTTCACTATCGGAAGCGAATTATAATGACGAGGAACTTGATTTAAATCATATCAAAGACGGAGTACATTGAGATGAAATACTACACTTAGTAAGGAATTATAAGCCAAATAAAATAAAAACATCTGCCCTGAAGATAAGGATAGTGCTGACAGATCAACTTTCAATCCGCGGCGTGAAATTGATAAACAGATTTCGGATTTCGAAACATACTTTCGCTTTGTAGATACAAATTACATATTAGTAAATATATATCGGAAATTCTATTTGACATAATCGAAAGTTCAAGCTTACTTTTATGAAATTGCTCTAACAGTCTGCAAAAAATAATAAGCTGGATCCAAATTCGTAGATTAAGGAACAACGCAATCTGCAACATTAACTGAATTAGATAATTTTAGCTTACCTCCGTTACACATCACACGCGCATGCGCACAAACATATTCACAGCCGTAAAGGTCTTACGCACACTCGTAAACGCCTGTGCGCATGCGTGAACGCAACGCCTGCACAGAAAGTTCGTAGCTTTGAGGTCTGGATTATAGATCATTCCGGATTATGGGTGTCCGAATTAACGACTTTTGACTGTATTTGAATACACATCAAATAGTTTCCTGGTTGCAATTTTCTAATTTCGAATATGCGTAATGTATGCTTTACACATGCGCGCATTGAAAGAATGAAAGAAATGTTTAATAAAGTAAACAAATAAATATTAAGCTTTTTTTGTAAATTTTGATACCCTTTAGATCATAATTGCTCTTTATTTCATAAATTACGGTTTCATATTTTTAATTGTATAATTTATGCATGCCATCTTACCAGATTTAAAGTGATGATCTATAATCTGGAAAAACCGATAATCCGGAATTGCCGAAGTCCCGACGAGTCTGGATTAAAGACTTTTTTGACTGTAGTTACGTTATTTGTTAATTATGAAATTTTATAAGGTTGAAATAAGGTTTGTATACCTAAAGTGAACATCCATAAAACATTCATTAGTATTAAGTTAAAAAAAAATGCCACAAAAAATCAGTTTCCTTGTCTCCTATTTTATTTATTTACTTTTATTTTTATTATTAATCTCATCACCAACTTACTGGCAGCAAAATTGGCTGTTCTTTTTGAGCCCACATTGTTTCTTTTTCATCAAAATTTTGTTTTTGTTAGAAGGAAAAAAATATATTTTAAAAAAAAAAAAAAATCTGAAAGTTTTCAGATTTTAAATTATGTCCAAAAGGTCTTTTTTTTTTTTTTTTTTTTACATTTTGTTTGTTACCTTTATTTATTAAATATCATGTTCTTCGTACTTAAACCATAAAATTCAGTTCAACAGCAATATCTCATAAAATAATTTTTAAATGAGCATATCTTTAGAGTTTGAGATACATAGTCTTGCACATTGGAAATAACAATGTTTTTTCTGTACAACGTTGTCATTGCTCGCTTTGAAAGCCTCGTGTTTGTTAGTAAAAAATTCGTTAAAGTTTTACAAAATATTTCTGTTAAATTCTGTTCTGCATTTTTTTTTTTTTTTTTTTTTTTTTTTTACAGAGCTGCTATTGCTCCCTTTGAAATTGTTGAGGTTCTTAACCAAAAACTCATAAATGCTTTACAAAATATGAAATCGATAATAAACCAAATTTCAAATTTTAAATTTGGGCTTCCAGATGGCCATACTTGAAAAAAGATCATGTCATTCAAAATTGGATGGCTCTAGGTACCGTTGTTTAATCACAATGCGAGAAACATACATACAGTAATGCAGATTCTTTACTATTTATTTTCTATGAATATAATAGAGGGTGATATTATTTCATGGCAACAATTTAAAAAGTGAAACAAGGCTTGTAGTGACTCAATGCAAAATGCCAAAACAAAATTAATAGTCCTTCTAGGCAAACTGCCCCTTTGGACTAAAAAAAAGCTGTGTATTTTACAAGAGCTAGATATTCAAATAAAGACTATGCTAAATCAAATAGCATTTAAGGCATTGGGCATTTTGAAACTTACTCCGTCTATATAGATTATTTTACTTCAAAAAAAATTTTTTTAGACTGAAAAAAATTGTCCGTATAATTACCGCATACAGAATTCCCAGATTCAATACTGAAAAAGTACAACATTATCATTTAAAAAATAGAAATAATTAATAATAATCATCTAAAAAAAACACAAAAGTTTTATTTGAAAATCGATTACCTTTGATGCAGTTAAAGTATGACCGAGAGAAGTATATACAGTAAAAGTCAAGAAAGACATCACTACAGGAGTTGTAGCCCAAAAGTACACACAAAGAGCATCTAAGTACTTTCGTTTTTTTAAAAATTTAACTTCTTCGTGCCTTGCAGCTTTTAGTTTTTCATAAAATAGTGATTCCCATGTGTTCATTTTAATGGTTCTAATTCCACAGAGAATTTCATTCATCAACTATTAAAGAGAAAATGTATAAAATATAACACATACCAATTTCTCAATAATATCACATAGTTAAACATGATATAAATATTATAATAAATGTACTTTATTGACAAATACCATAATAAATAAACTTTTTCAAATTTGGTAATATTTCATATACATCACACTTAAATAAAATTTGGTACTTTCTCATTATCTGAACCCTTGGTTTCAAATATTTGGTAGAATTGTCATGATTTTGATGTATTTTTAAATATACATACAATTAATTAAATATGCATGTACCTATTTGAGTATGTGTGGATTTACATCCTTTGCCTTATTTCAACAATCTATTCCCTTCAGTTTTTTTGGGGGGGGGCAAGGAGGGGTCATATGAACTGCATTTGAATTGTGGAATTTACCAGCTGACAAAGCTGCATTTCTTTAGAAATAGTAGTGTTTCTCCCAATAACAAAAAATATGAAATTGGTATTCTATAAAACTGTACAGTAATTGCTAAGTGATATTGGTATAACATTCCAGTCTAGGAAAATGCAGTATCAAAAACCGTACGCAAAGCATTAGTTATTGACAACTTTTTGCTACAGCTATTCAGTTTGTTTTTTGGTGGGCAAAAGAAATACATTAGGGAAGTTCTGTGGAGAACTGGAAGAATTACCCAACGAAACTGTCAACTAATGTTTTGTATGCAAAAAGAGAAATGTACAATAATAGGCAACACTGGGTGTATTCATCCAAATAATGACTGTCTATTTATGAGACGTAAAGTAATGCCAAAATTTTGAAGGCCATAGCATATCCTGATTGTAAAAATATACATATCGGTGACATAGACTGTTGTTTTTTCATCATAACCTTTGTTATACTATACTTCTTTAGATTACAATTTATGAGCAGAACTGTATCTATAAGCGATAAAGATAGCTGAAGAAAACTTTTTTTTACCAAATCACCAATTTTTGGTGGGTTACCTTTAAATACTGAAATGGAAAGTATATGTTAAAGTGCTTAAATTCTTTTTATTTTATTTTATTTTTTTATTTTTTTTTATTTTTAAATAATGAAGGGAATGAATTTTATGAAACTTCTTTTGGCTAATCTTTACTGTATGGTACACCTTGGTTTTTGTCTGAAAAAAATTGCTAAGTGATATTGGTTATTCGTGAAATCTGGAAGCCCACTGTGCGAAACAGGTTTTTTGGTAACCCTAATGTTGATAATGTTGGTGAAACTAGCCTTGAGACTTTTTTTTTTTTTCTTTCTGTTATTAAAAAGGGGTTATTTCTGCGAATATCGCCAAATGTGTTGTGATAAATGTAGATTTGGGCTATTTTTTGTAATAGCAACTTTTTTGTATGGACACGTGTTTTTGGTTCTTACCATTCTTTTCAATTGCTGTCTTTGGTTGCACATGCGTGGTATGGTCTTGCATTTTGGACTTGCTATGATATAGCTGTGGGTACCATCATTTGAGTATGTCTGAAGTGATTAAAAGGATGAATGTTGACGAGTTGGATTATGATGAAATTGTGAATTTGAGGTTTTTGTATGGGTTGGATGATGGACGAAAGACGTTTGAATTTTGCATGAAAGCTGGTTTAATTGCTGATAGATATGAATGAGGCGCAACAACAAAATATTTAACTGAATTTCTTACCTGGAGGATGGAGGAGATGGTCGTGGGAAGTGTAAACGTATGCACATGAAAAAAAGATATGTTAAAAAATTGATGTTTCATTTATTTATTCATTTCTATGTGCTAATTTGTGTTAAAATATTTGTTGTTTAATGTTTTTATGTTAGGAAATATGTATTTTTGGTTATTTATTCCTCTATGTTTGTGTATTTTTTGGTTATTTGTTTGTCTCTGTGTGGCTAATTTTTTCTGGTTACCATGATAGTTTTATCTAGCTAGCTAGTAACCTTTATCGCCTTACCAAAATGTCGCCAAACTACCTGTTACCATATTCCAAAGATTAGCCAATTTTACAATTCTCACTTCATGAACAAATTTAAAACAAATATCCCCTTTAGGGATTTTGTGGCAATTGTATTTCTGCAGAAATTTTATCAGTTTATTCCATTACGAGCAAATCCTAAAAATGCACATTTTTAAAATTAATTTAAAATACAGTCAAAAGTCGTTAATTCGGACACCCATAATCCGGACCTCAAAGCTACAAACTTTCTGCGCATGCGCCACTTTACGGGCGCTTAAGACCTTTACGGCTGCGAATATGCGTGTGCGCATGCGCATAATACATTTGTTTACGCATGCGCGTTTAATGTATAACGGATGGTATAAGCTAAGCTAAAATTATCTAATTCAGTTAATGTTGCAGATTGCGTTGTTCCTTAATCTTCGAATTGGATCCGGCTTATTATTCTTTGCAGACTGTTAGAGCAATTTTATAAAAGTAACCTTGAACTTTTGATTATGTCAAACAGAATTTACGATATATATTTACTAATATCTAAAGGATCTACAAAGCGAAAGTATGTTTCGAAGTCCATTAAACAAAAAGTGGAATTGCTGCAAAAAATGAATAAAAGTATATCCTTCCTTTCTCTAACAATTCCGAAATCTGTTTATCCATTTTACGCTGCTCTGCGGCGGGGGGGGGGGGGGGACGCCGTGGCGCGAAATGAATTGGAAGTTGACCTGTCAGCACTATCCTTATCTTCAGGGCAGATGTTTTTATTTTATTTGGCTCATAATTCCTTACTAAATGTAGTATTTCATCTCGATGTATTCCGTCTTTGATATAATTTAAATCAAATTCCTTGTCATTATAATTCGCTTCCGATAGTGAAGAAAGTGACACAGAGGTTATTGAAAATGAAAAAATTTCAATTGACAAGTTAGTCGGTATTTTCGGCACAGCAATTAACGGGACTTGAACAGCGGAACTTTGTAACTGAACAAAAAAATTATGTCTGTTTATAGAATTAAAGAGAAAGTATTATCACATAAAACGAAGCAACTTAAACAACTTACATTGCAAGAAATGTTTAATGCAGTAAACAAATAAATATTAAGCTTTTTCTTTTTGTAAATTTTGATACGCTTTAGATCATAATTGTTCTTTATTTCATAAATTATGGTTTCATATTTTTAGTTTTATAATTTCTGCTTGCCATGTTACCAGATTTAAACTGATGATCTATAATTCGTAAAAATCGATAATCCGGAATCGCCGAAGTCCCGACAAGTCCGGATTAACGACTTTTGACTGTATAAGGTATCATAACCGTCTATAAAAACTATTTGAACTTACAATATACAAAACATATTGGAAAGTGGCAACATTGCTAGTTAAAATTAAAGAATTTTATGCCCATGGTTGCTACAGTTTGAGATTCTGAAATTTTTGTTACCTTCTACAAGTTAAGAAATGCATTGCAAAGTATTTTGCATCTTGGAATTTAAAAAAATTCGAAAATTTAAAATTTTAGGTAGATATTACCATTAAATAAATAAAAGTAATACCTTCTGCCAAATGATAAAACTACATTTTTACCTAGCTATAATAGAATTACAACTTTTAAAAAAGAAAAAAAAAAGTTTCAGATTTGTTACAATATACAAATTATTGTAACAAATCTGAAATTATTCATTGCACGCCGCGGCGTTTCCCCTTCCCGCTGCAGAGCAGCGTAAAGTTGATAAACAGATTTCGGAATGGTTAGATAAGCAAAGGATTATGCCTTTATCCATTTTTTGCAGCAATTCCACTTTTTGTTTAATGGACTTCGAAACATACGTTCGCTTTGTAGATCCTTTACATATTAGTAAATATATATCGGAAATTCTATTTGACATAATCGAAAGTTCAAGCTTACTTTAAAATTGCTCTAACAGTCTGCAAAAAATAATAAGTGTGATCCAATTCGAAGATTAAGGAACAATGCAATCTGCGACATTAACTGAATTAGATAATTTTAGGTTAGCTTATACCATCCGTTATACATTAAACGCGCATGCGTAAACGTATTATGCGCATACGCAAATGCATACTCGCAGCCGTAAAGGTCTTACGCGCATGCGTCAACTTGATGAATGCGCAGAAAGTTTGTAGCTTTGAGGTCCGGATTATAGATCATTCCGGTTTATGGGTGTCAAAATTAACGACTTTTGACTGTAGTTATACATAGCACAATGCACAAATTTTTGACCTAAATTGGTCTTTTTTCGTTTGTTCTTACAGCCTTACTTATAATAATATAGTTATTATACTATGTATATAGTGATAGTATAAAGTGATAGTATGCACATAGACGTTCTTGGGTCATTTTTGGTGTTGGCGATAATTTTCAAAATCGTGCAAGGCTGCACCGTATACTAGGATTTTACCTAAGCAGTATTTACGGTAAAAGTATAGTTTAGAGTACCCCTTTGCAAAACTTGGCGATTTTTGGCAGTACATGGATACCGATTTTGTGCAATTCTTTGACTCACTATTTTGGCTTGCAAAGCGTTGATTTTTGGATTTTTGGGCCAAAAATCGCCGCTACGCTAGTCAAAATAACAAGACAAACAATTGCACGAACTCGGTATCCATGTACACATCGACTTATTTTCACTTAAAAAAAATCACATTTCACAAAAATGGCATTGCACAATCCTTTGACTTTATCCATGTACACGTCGACCTATTTTCACTTTAAAAAAATCCCAGAATTGCACAAACTTGCATTGCACACTCCCTTTACTTTGTCCATGTACGTATCGATATATTTTCACTTAAAAAGTCAAAGTAGCACAAAATTCTACAATATAGGCAAACAAAAAATACATAATCTCAATAAAATTCATTTTAAACCAAACAATAAAATAACATAAAAAAGGAAAAACATGTTATACATTTAACACTACCAAAAGCAAATATTCACTTACCATGATTTTCGAGTTCGTTTCGTACACCCAGAGCCACGTAAAAATCAAAATATCAATCATATTCAAATGACTTTTTTCAGACCAGGTACTCCTTCTGATCGAACGCTTCACATAGTGACCATCTGAACCTTTCTTCCTACAAATCCATTCAAATACATCTAAACGGTTTTTACGTTCAACTAGACACATATCCTTCCTACATACAGAACACTTATAGTGGCTACTAAGTGAACCTTCATTTACACACCAGTCAATTTAAGATCTTTTCCTCTTTCGCTCCAAATCGTACAGAAACTTCAAATTAATCTTACTACATTTGGCCATTCTACCGTCTAAAGAATCAAACCAACAAACACCACAAAAACGCTTACAAAACATCCCATTATTCAAAATTTTCCAGAATCGTGCACCCAATTACGTCACAATAGGGTTTTCATAACATTCAACTACTCAGGCTACTATAAATGAAACAACAACTTGGCGATAAATCAAACAACAACTTTGCCATAATACAAGGGTACCTTAAAGTCTACTCTACCTGTATTTACATTTAAATACATTAGATATCAGTTCAATGATGTCTAATGTAATAGGAAAATTTTTAAGGTAAAATATAAAGCAGTATAGATATCAGTATATATATCTTTCCGCTTTTTAAGCGGAAGTGATTTTAATATGTAGCAGGTACTGTATATGGTTTATATAAACTATATAACTATAAATAGCCATTAATTACTGTAGACAAACTGTAAAACGATTCAGCAACTTCCAGAATATGTTATGACAGTACCACAAATAGCCACACAAAAAAATCACAATATTAAGTCTTTAATTTTTCTACCAACATATCTTAACAGAAGAGAGTTAATGTTTACTCCTCCAGTTATTAGGCATCTAAAAACAAACTTTTTCCTATTTTTTCCCTTCCTTTCCCCCCTCTCAATGCATCATTGAAATATAATTTTAAAATATATAACCATATTTTTTTTCTCAACACTATACAATTATCAAGAACTCTATTATGTAGTAAATAATCAAAAAGTAATACATTTACCTTAATCCTTTTATCTTTGGCTTTCATCATGAAATTACTATAACATGCAATTTTCTTAGCTATGTATTGATTAATAGGAATAATAATTAACATAAAAACAACTCCAACAATAAAGCAGAAATTTACTTGATAATACAAAAGTACAAAGGCAATAATCACTTGAACAGGTAAACTCCAAAACTGATGAAAACTCTGACAAAAGTTCACAATACGATCAGTATCTGTACTGATGAAATTTAAGATTTCTCCTGTATTCATACTGGATAAAGTAACTTTACTCAGAAGCAGCGACTTCTGATACACAATCATTATAATAGCTGATCTGATTTTTAAACTTATTCTATTAATTAAATAGTTATATTGCACTGAGAATAAAGCAGAAAAAACTGTTACGGCAAATAATCCAAAAACATAATAATAACCATTTTCAGATGTTTTGCTGTCTGTCTCTAAAAATGAAACCAAGGCATTAAGCAAAAGTGGACCTCCAAAACTCAGACTATCTGATATAAATTTTAAAATACCAATGGAATAGAACTCATAACCAAAGAAAGTATGCAGGAGTTTAATCAAATGCAAAGAATTACCTTTACAAAATCCATCGCAATCTGGCCTTAAATTATGATTTCTTACAGTTGAAGTAACTTTTTCATAGATATATTCTGACTGTAGCGTCACTGGTAAATCATATAAATCATCTATATTCTGCAAATTTTCCTTATAACCTTTATTAATCAAAGGATGCACCCATAAAAATAATAATTTTGAAAGCAAGTTATTTGATTCTTCAGCAGTACCTAAAGCTTGTGGGTCAATTTCTTCATGAAATCCATAATATCTGGATGAAGCTGAACTTATTAAAGGTTCTTGTTCATTCTGAACGGAGTTAACGCTACCATGGTATGTATGTGTTTGATTATCATTTTGCAAAAGTAAACTACTAAGATAGACAACTTGTAATGCAACGAAACTGATTTCCAGATTTTTTACATGGTTTGAATTTAAAGTTGAATACTGTAAATACAGATTATACAGAGAAATAACAAAACAAATAACTGATGATATAATTACAGATAAAGGTCCACTAATAAGAACTGTTATACCCCTCGTAAGTGACCAAACAAATATTGCATGGACAAACCAAGAAATCATAACAGTTGTATGCTGTATAACATCTAAAGTCGTAACACTTATGTGAACATCATAAAATATTAGAGATAACTGAAAAACTGATACCAATGCTATTAAATGGCAAATAAATATTCGGATGTATAAAATGACAAGTTCATATTTTGATCGACGCAACTGAATGATATTTCGATAACCTACATAATAGGAACTCAAAATAAGCAAAATTAAATATGAAGGAATTATCAAACATAGCTGTTTAAAACATTTTCCAATAGCCTGACCATTCCAAACATAAAAATGTTCTCCACAGATACGATCAATGTAGGAGGTGAAATTCATATTCGACGCATATGTTCATTTACTACATAATATTAACATAAATGCTGAGTAGTTATTCCGATATACATGAAATTTAAGATATTGCAGACGAGTTTATGTCAAAAGCCAACTAAAATCGTGCGTGTTGCAGACGACAGACAAAATACATACAAACAGATACCTCGTCCAATGGTTCGATCGGCAGCGCCGTCAGTAATAAAATAAATAAATAATAATAATAAATAAAAAAAATTCAGTTTTCCTTGCTTAACAATTTTTCGGCTAATGCTATACAGTATTTTAACATGATTGGAAATATCTGGTTGTAACGAAAGATTTCCACCAAAATGTGTTTTTAATAAAGTTAGAAAACATGAAAGTATTATCTTTAGTGCGAGTAGTAATTATCATACAAATCTATGATTTTCTGCCAATGTTTTGGTAGTTTTTCAAAGCCTTCGTCCCAGAAACTTCGTGAGTTCAGAAACAGATCAACCTCATTTCGGACGTCTTCTGCAGAATGGAAAATAGCAAAAGTATGTAGCTGCAGGTGTGACAAAAGGTACAAGTCTGAAGGAGTGATATTGGGCCAATATGATGAGTATAGCAAAAGATACCATTCGAGTCCGTACAAAGTCCAGTCCATGAATGCAGACACATGCGGTCTTGCATTTTCTTGATTTAACATTACCTTTTTGAGCCGGAACTTAGTTCGACGTTTTTCTTCGATAGCAGCGTCAGCACGAACAAGAATCTCGCTGTACTTTACTGTTGAGGGTTTTACCATTTTCCAAATACTCTTTGTGCACAATACCACGGCATTCCTACCAGATACAAAACATGAGCTTTTTGTTAGTCAAATTGCGCTTTGCGACGCTACCGACGGACTCGCCAGGCGCAGACCAACCCCCTTTTAGACCTGTGTCATTGAAGTAAATCCACTTTTCATCTTAAGTAACGTTCCATTTCAGAATTATGCCTTGCGTTAATATTCGAGCAGATTAGTGCAGGCCTGAACACAGCTGCCCTTATGTGCTTGAATCAGCTCATGTGGCACCCAGCGACTGAACTTGTGAGTCAAGTTTATGCGATGCATAGCGCGACTACTGAACATGAAAAGCTCTCGAGTGGTTGCATACTGATCTTCTACTACAAGTTCTTGCAGGTGAGTTTCGTAAACATCAGTAGGCTGGCCAAACCGCTCTATTTTTTGAATGTCATAGTCCTTGTTATTGGACTTTCGGTTCAAAACCTTCACAGGGTCATATGATACAAAAATAGTACCTAAAACTGTGCACATGATTTGGTGACATTCTGTAGCTGACTTTTTGCAACAGAACTGGAAGTAAATGACGGTTCTAATCTGGTAGCGTGAAAGCTCCATTTTTGACATCTCGTACTTAATGATAACAATATTTTTTATAAATTTCACAACACAGTGTTCTAAAGTAAGTTTCTTTCTTTCAAATGCCTAAAATCGTTTGACAAAATATGGTTAAACACACTAACGCGAACTGTTTGCGCAGAAACTTTCGTTAAAGCCCTATACATTTTTATGAATCTTTTATCATTTCAGTAACCCTGTCTTTACTGCAAAGAAATACATTACTTGGAAAATTCATAAAAAGTCATAGAAATTATCTATAATGTGAAAAATTAAAATATTAAAATTCTAATAGCGTTAGGAAGAAAATGTCATTAATTAAAGAAGTTGAGATATTATGAAAGTGAAAAGCTTCAAGGAAATTATATTCACCAGCTGAAGAAGTTGCATGGATAATGTTTTGCAGAATTAAAGCGAAAATTGGGACCAAGTGCCAAACTATGATTATATATCAAAGATTTGTTGATTTATGCATTTGTTTATTTATTTTCAAAAATAATATTCGTGCTTATTGATGCGAAGCTTTTATGGCTCTTCCCTCCTTTTTTTTTAGTCTGCTGGATATATATCAAAGCACATTGAGAAGATATGCTATAAAGTCCTCTAGAATTAAAATCTATCCTTTCACAAAATACTTTTCTTTGCCTAACATTACAAGCGTTGCAAAATCAGATCTATGCATTAGACACCTGGCTAATGTGGGAAAGACACCTTAATGTGGGAAAATCTACTTAGCAGATTCCTTCAGCCCCCCAAAAAAATCACTGGCGATCTTAGGGTGAATGAAACTTACACTGTCCTGGGTTAGATGAGTTACTCATTTCTGGGTGATTCTCGACCGTAATCTTCATGGTTTCAGTAGGGTCTAGAGGTTGCAAAACAAGACATCTGTCTACTTTGTGTGTCTGGTGCTTAATTACCCCAAACGTGAAGGGAGAGTCGTCACTTCATGTGTAAATCGACGTCTCAACGATGTCACAATGTTTCTCTCAGCATTAACATCACACTAAACATTGTTTACAATATTAATTCGGAAACCTTAAAAGAGGTCCTTGTCGATATACACTCCTCAAAAGTAAAATTGCAACACAAAGAAAGAATGCTCGTAGTGTCGTGCAAATTTCAGGATCGACAGTTGTGAGATGGATATACAAATGATTGAAAAACAGACACATAAAATTATTATAAACCAATTTATTCAGTATCTAACGTGCCCACATCGGGCAGCGGTACAGGCCGCAATCCGGCGAGGCATGCTATCAATGAGTTCATTGATGGTTGCCTGAGGCAGTCTTTACTAAGCCACATCCACTGATGCCCGCAGATCATCCAGGTTTTTGGGCCGTGGTTAATGTTACGTCCAATCACATCCCACAAGTGTTCGATGGGATTCAGATCTGGAAAGGCTGCCGGCCAGGGGTGATGTAAAATCCGCTCAGGCTGTTCAGAGTACGACGTACGACATGCTGCTTGGCATTGTCTTGCTAGAATACCGTGTTGGTATGCTCTGCAACTAGGGCAGAACAACAAGCTCCACAACTTGCGTGACGTAGCGATCTGCTGTCAAACTGCCGTTAATGTGTACCAGGGACGTCTTGTGATCACACATTATACCACCCCAAATCATAATGCCCGGCGCAGGACCGGTGTGACGCTCGGCGAAATGGGCTGTTTCGTATCGTTCTGCGGGACACCGCCGTATCCATTGACGGCCGTCATTCCTCTACAGACAGAAACGAGATTTACCTGTAAACAAAAACCCGATGCCATTCGATGGTCCATGCTGTATGATGCTGACACCACACCAGGTGTCTAGTCTTTTGTTGAGCAGTCAATGGTACCCCTGTGGCTGGTACCCGTAAACGTAAGTGTACTATATGCAATGTATTGCGTATAGTTTGGGTGGACACAAATCCACCTGCTCCTGGAGGCAAACAGCTTCGGATATCACGTCATGTGGAGAAAGGGTCTCCAGTAGTTTATCGCCGAATACGGCGCTCTGTGCTCTCTGACGTGAACCTGTTCGCACCACTACCTCTTCGATGAGCACGTACACCTTCCTGGAATCTATTGTATAACACAACGTTGGATGGTACTCACGTTATGTTCAATACGAGTGGCTATTGTGCGCAGCGACAAACCAAGTTCATGGAGATCGATAATATGGTCTAATTCACTGGTTGTTAACTGATGGTATTGAGCCGATTGAGCTTTCCAACGTCTCAGAGGCATTTTCTGTGCTTCTTCTTCTTCTAACGTCTCCAATGCTCCGTAAACCTTCATATACCGTTTACGAGAAGGAAAAGTGGCTGACCTTTATAGCCCGCATATGCGTACCACGCGATCCAATGAGTGCACAACTTTTATCATTTGCATATCTCCCCCACAACTCTCGCTCCTGCAATTTGCATGACGCTACGTTTATTCTTTCTTGGTGTTGCCATTTCACTTTTGAGGAGTGTATGCGAACTGAACTATTTCGAGCTTTCTACAAATGAATAACTTGACAATGTTTTTTCGTATGCGAAAGCAAAAGAATAATTAGATATTTTTTAGGATTGGCCAAATACAGGAAACGTTGGTGCATGTAAAAAGTACTTTAGTAAGATAATCTAGTAAAATGTAAACTAGTAAGATAATCTGAGTTTACACTGGCTTGTACTCAAAAATACCCTTAAATCCATTCAAAGGTTGAATTGGAGTTGAACCATTGATATTCAATAGTTTTATGCACTTAGCCACATTTAAACTTAAAAAAAGTAACAATAAAAAATAAATAAAAAAAATATGAAAGCTTTCAGATTGTATATTACTTCCAAAGGGGGACAGCAATTCAACACCAATATCGCCAAATAATTTAAAAACAGCATATCTTTATAATTTCCGATACACAGTCCCGCACGTTGGAAATAAAAACGTTTTTTAGTCCAAAGGCGTAATTTGCCCAGAAGGACTATTAATTTCGTTTTCTTTCACTTTTCAAATTGTTGGCACCAAATATTATCGCCCTGTATTATATTTAATGAAATTAAATAATGAAGAATCTGCATGAAAGTGTGCATGTTCTCGCATTGCTCTGCATGTTTCTCGCGTTGTGATAAACAACGGTACCTGGAGCTATCAAAATTTGAATTACGCAATCTTCCATAGAATATGAGTATGCGGAAGCCCTATTTTGAATCTGAAATTTGTTTTATTATCGATTTTATATTTTGTAACACTTCAACGAATATTTGATTAACAGACTAAACGATTTCAAAGCGAGCAATGGCAACACTGTACGAAAAAAAAAAAAAAATTAATCTCCAGTGCGTGATACAGTGTGTCGGAAATTCTAAAGATCTTCTGGTTTTAAAATTTTTTTGCAATATTACTGATGTTTTAAGTGCGAAGAACATGATATTTAATAACTAAAGGTAACACAGAAAATGTTTAAAAAAAAAAAAAAAAAAAACTCTTTAGACGTAATTTAAAATCTAAAACCTTTCAAATTTTCTGAATTTTTTTTTTTTTTTTTTACAGTGTTGCTATTGCTCGCTTTGAAATTTTCGAGGTTCTTAATCAAAAACTAATAATTGCTTTACTAAATATGAAATAGATAATAAAACAAATTCCAGATTCCAAATTTGAGCTTCCGGATACCCATATTCGGGTGGAGACGTACCTTATTTAAAACCAGATGCTCTAGGTACCGTTGTTTTATCACAATGCGAGAAACATATATATATTTATGCAGATTCTTCATTATTTAAATTCTTTAAATATAATACGAGACGATAATATTTGGCGCAAAAATTTGAAAAGTTATTCA